CCACTCAACAAAACTGTGGAACACGAAAGATTCCAGATCACTCAACGGAACCCCAGTGGAACCCTGTTCCGGATCACTCAACGGAACCGAGCGGAAGTCCAAGGAACATAACAACGGCTCGAAGAAACAAAATATGACTCAAGTGTTCAATTACAAAAGCTCAACGAAATGAAACAAAGAACATGTACTGAATTTAGAATGGTTCAACGAAGCGAGAAATGATACAATGAAACGGGATATGAAACAAGCTCTAAAGCAACAAACCTCATGGCAATGGTTAACGGTCCACTACTAGCCCTCACATTTCATCACATCATACCAATCATGCAAATCAAACCACATATCAAATATGCTTGTCAATCACATTTCACAAATGTTTTCAGTACAAAGTCAAATCACATTCAATAAAATCAAGTGATAACCACAAAGAATGCTAAATACGATAGCAAGTAGTAACCATATCACATATATTCAAGCCACTTACTAACCAATGCCCACTAGACTTCACATAGTCTCCCGTAGTACTAATTTTAGTATTTAAAACGATTCAAGAATGTTGACCAAAAGTCAACTCTCAGTTAACAGTGTGGTCCAGAACACTACATAATTCGATCCGGAAGATCCGCACATCTAATTTCAGATCTGTAACTTTCTAAGGTCCTCATTATGCTCATAGAACAACATATTAAAATTTCATTGCAATCCAACGGTCAGATCTCTGCCAATCACAAATTCAAGTGGCGATCAACATTTGGTTTTACAAACTTAGAAATTCAATTCGAGAAGATCCGTACATCAGATTCCCAATCCGTCAGTTTTTAATGTCTCAAATATTATGTACTATAATATATAAAAGTTTGCTGACGATCCAAGAGTCGGATCATCGATTCAAATAATGATTAAGTGGTGTATTATAATAAAAATAGGTTCAAACAATCAAATCACATCAAGCGGATATCGAATATGAAATTAGGACATCTAATTTTTCCGACTAACTTTAAAAATTACCAAATTTTACAGAAATGTACAACTCAATGAGAGAAACATTTTCATACCTAGGCCGAAGTCCAATTCGGCTGGCAACTGGCCAAAAAATCCCTCGAATCGTCAGAAATCCCGAAAATGGGTGAACCTCAATGCGTCAATTCGAAGCTCCACCAACCCCAAACTTGTTTGGGGTTTGTTCCTGGGCTCAAGAGACACCTAAGGGTGGTGGTGGTGGTTGACGGAGAACGTTTCAGAAATGGTAGATCAAATGCTCGGGTTTCACGGCACCTGTATAGGTGTCATTCGTGAAATCAAGATGAAAACTCGTCGATTTTGGCTTTAATTGAACGCTGGGATGTTGTGGTGAGGTTTGGTGGTGATGGGAGATTGAAGAAAGTCGGAAAAATCCACGGAAAACCCATCAGAATAATCACAGGGAACTAGGTCTATGTTCAGGTCGTCGGGTTAGAACCGGGTCAAAACCGGGTCAAAACTTGGGTTCTGGTTGGGTGGTTTTTCTCTCCTTCCTTTCCCTTACTCACTTTCCCTTCTGATTAGGCGGTTTTCCCCCTCTTTTCTTGTCTTTCTCTACTCTTCTTTCCATCACAAATACACAAGTGGCTTCATCCCAGCTGTTCTTGCTTCAACAAATATGGAGCCTTCCAGATTAATAACTAAAGGACCATTTTGTCCTCAACTTCAATCGTTTATAACTCCAAATTACATTCCATTTGGAGTTATAACTCCTTTGTTATAACTCCAAATTACTATTCCACAATTGACACGTACTATCTAAATATGTGAAGAAATCCTGGAAAATCATGTAAGGATCAAATACGTCTGCGAAGAATCCCGTTTAATACAATAGGGGCAATTTCGTCCTTTTACTTATCAAAAAAAAATATACGCCGTAAATATGAAAGCGTTGAAACTACGAATATGAATACGAAATACGTAATTTTAAATAATGAAATATGGGGACGGGATTTCACATCCTTTCCCCTTATAAATATTTCTTCATCGAAATTTCCCTTGTCATTTCCATTTACTCAACATTGCAATAATTCTCAGATTACGCTAACCTCAAGTTCGCAAGTTTTGAACTTCAATTCACCATACCAAAAATAATTACAAACATAGCCATGTCATCAAAGACGATACCAATTCCATGGTACAGTTATTAATATCCACAGGTAAAGGTACTTAGACCTAATACCTAAGCTTTGGTACCACTAAAAGTTATCACGCCCCGATCCCAACATATGTCCAGGATCGACACGTAACGTCATCAAGTATCCGTATATCTAACATACCCTACCTCCAGAATATGCATAAAGCACAACTCAAGATTTGAATTACGTGCAAATTTTTGTATACTTTATGGCTGCATCTAACCTCCTCGTTAGACTGCCTATGTACCCTAAAAAGGGATCAAACCATTCATAGTTCACCATTTGTTAATCTCTAAACTTTTCGTAAAATACTTTTAGCAAAAAACATAAAGTACTACACTACACATCCACCATAAGCCAAATAACAATTGTCATCTTGCCATGCACACAGGTACGCCATTCACACACATATGCATTCCAACACTATTCCACAATCCTATCAATCAACAACATATACTATACAATGCACCAAAATGCAAGACTAGAGCGACACAGTTCAGCTGAAGCTTACATCTCTGAAGAATGGGATTTCGGACCACTCAAAACTTGGGATCCGGTTGGGTGGCTTTTCTCTCCCTCATTTCCCCTCCTCACTTTCCCTTCTAATTGGGCAGTTTTCCCCCTCTTTTCTCTCCTTTCTCTGCTCTTCTTTCCATCACAGCCACACAAATGGCTTCATCCCAGCATTTCATGCTCCAACAAATCTGGAGCCTTCTAGATTAATAACTAAATAACCATTTTGTCATCAACTTCAATCATTTATAACTCCTTCGTTATAACTTCAAATTACATTCTATTTGCACCTACGCGTTCGTATCGACATGTACTATCCAAATATGTGAAGAACGAGTACAATTCATCAAAATTGAAAGCCAAGCTGACTATAATAGAACATGCACCAAATCTACAAAAGTAAGAGAAAATCTAAAGCGAAAAAGCACATGAAGAAGAAAATGGCAGTTTAAAGTATCAAAAGGCCTTAGTAATATCTACAAAAATACACACATTACCACTCAAAGATTTTTTTGTCCATAAAATTGAACTGTTCTGAAACCAAACCATGCAATCAGAAATACGTTTTTTTTCTTTCAAAAATGGTGTCTGTTAGGGAGAGATAATACGTGTGACAATAGGCCCGAGCCGATCAGCAAGAATCTTCGGAATAATCCTTGACAAAAAGTGAGCAAGTGCAATGAGTCGATAATGAAAGATAGTGGTGGTCCTTTTGACTTTAAGGATAAGTACCCCAAAGTTGCAATTAACATTTAGATATAATCATCCACGCTTAAAGGAATCTTGTACAAAAACGTTAGTATCTAATCCAATAATATCCCAACATGACTGATAGAAAGAACTAGGAAAATCGTCAAGTCCTAGAGCATTTGAATGGTTCATAGAAAAATAGCATTTCTAATTTCATCCACTGAAGGCAAATAAAAAAGAGTAGAATTTTCATGTTCACTAACCATAGGTGGAATCCACCACAAACATCATCAATTCCACTTAGAGTGAATAAAGAATTATATAAAGATCGATAAAAATTTACCACATGATCAACAATCTTAACAGGAGAAGAGAGCACACTATCACCATCTAAAAGAGTAGTAATTCTAGAAAGTGAATGCCTACTCAGCATAAGCATGAAAAGAGCAGTATTACGATCACCCTCAGCTAGCTATTTAACCAAAGCACGATCTCACCAAATAGCTTCATGCATACAAAGAGTATCAAGGACAACCGTCTTGGCCACAATTTCTTCATTATACTCAGAGTTCCCATCAAAAGAAATAATATTTTAAAGTGCTAATGGAGATGAAAATTGTTGTTTTTCCTACAACAAATGGTGTATGGAGAAGTTTGAGCTAGGGCTTTGTTGATTGATAGATTCCATGTCTCCATGGTTGATGAGACGATAAGAAAATACGGGATGCTGTATAAAATGCCTTTTATGGTGGATTTGTTGTCCCAAATCTACGAATTGGACAAGAAGGCGTTCACGAGGAAACAAGACGGAAGGAGATCACCGTAGTCCTCCCAACAGAAAACATCCATATGATGTTGATTATTTCCAGAAGGAGATCAAACAAATTTCAGGTTAATATTTCTTGCCGATCCTAAATTTGATCAAGTCAGTGGTAAGATTTTGCGTAAGGAATCGAAATCGGATCTTGACAATAGTTTTACCTATGTTCGTCATGATGCACATAAAAATTGACTATAAATGCTCTTGTAAAGTGAATGCAGTCGACAAGGTATATGCAATATTCTGCATTGGCTTCTAGAGTTCGTTATTTTCTTTTGTGGTCATGAAGTAGTGTTTTCTTTGTTGCTAACTTGCTACGTCCCAAGACCGTTTCCATAAGTACGAAAATTATGGTAAATACAAATTCTATCCTAGTGGAGGTTTTTACTTTTAATTCTCACGCCTTACTTTGAGGTGACTTGGTAGGCCATCTCATCTATGGTTGAGCAGAAAGTTTTCGAGAAGCAAATTATGCATCCAGGCCCGTGCATAAACTGGTAAATAGATGAGTGCATCAGGAAATTTTTTTCTTTTATTTTTATTTTTTATTAACTCAATTCACCGAATGGTTGAAGAAAAATAAATGGAGAACGAACTTTAACAAGTTTGAATAGACAAAGATGGATGGTAATATTTCGAGAAAAGAGAAAAAAATAGGAAAAGGAAAATGAAGATTTTGTTATAAAAGTGGATGATTCACATGAAGAAACAGTCACCGTACCACTTCTTGTCAGCCAATAAATGTTGAAGTTCTTGTCAGCCAACAAATGTTGAAGGTATGTTGCTACTCTCATGTAGCATGTGCTACTTTAAGATATTTTGGTCTTAGAAGAGAACTATGTGGGTGTTTGTTGTACCGAACTGTCTCGAACTAAACTAGTTTCAGGGACTAAGCTGAACTATCTTAAACTAGACTAAGCTGAACTAGCTTAGTGAAATGTTTGGTGCAGCGTCGAACTAAGAAGCAGACTAATTAATAAATTATAATATTATATTTATATCTATTAATATTTTATCTATTTTATTTTTAATTTATTTTTTTCTTTTTGGAATCTCTTCCTTTTTTCTGGAAACATCCACCATTTTTCCACCATTCTCCCTCGTTTTCTCCGGCACATCGTCTCCCTCTCATCCTTCTTTTTTCTCCCCTTTTTCTCCCTGTTTTCTTCTTCAACGGAGGAAGCTGTGCATTTTGCACCTAATTTGGATCAAAGACCAACAAGTCTTTCTTCTTGTTCCTCTAACCAGAGATAGCCCTCTTTTTCACAAAAATCCCAAATCAAGGTAATAGATTTCTAGGTTTCTGGAGAAGAGCATTGTGGATTTCTGGAGGTCTTTCGTTTTTTGCCTACATATTTCTGGAGAAGTGCACAGCAACCCAAGGTAATAGATTTCTAGGTTTATTGCAGATTTTGATATTTTTCTATATTTAGGATTTATAAGGTTTAATCTTCGAATTGAAATGTTGTGTATGGTGTGGATTAAGCTTATTGGAAGCTTAATTGAATGAATTCATCTCTGAAGCAAAGAGGGGGTTGGGTTCACAGGACGGAATGGGTAGAGTTGTTTCAAATTTGGTGACTCAAGAAGAGGGAGGAAGGCATGATTTGGTAACTGGGTTCGTGGGAAGAAGGAGATTCGGGATGCATGTTTGCAGACGACGTGGGCGCTAGAGACGGGATTAGCAATCCGCTAGTTTTCAGGGGGACCAGCTAAGAACAGCTAGTGAAGCTTTTATTCGGTGCAAGTCCGACTTAATCTCATTAAAGGCGGTCTTTGTTTGCACCAAACACGGGCTAGGACTCCTACCTAAGATAGTCCAGGCTAATGAGACTTAAAGGGGCCAAACAAACGTGCCCTATATGTTTTCCTATATAAAGGCTTATTAGCTCATAAATGATATAGAGAAGAAGATATACAATCAATTGTTTCTATTACTTTGTAATTTCAGAATGATAAGGAGAGGGACCACTGTACTACGCCGATGACATAGGCACACTTGCCGAACGTCTTAAAAATTATGTCTTATTTACTCTATGTTTTACTGCATACGTATCCTCAAGTTCACAATAGATCTTAATTGTCAATGTCATAGTCGTTGATCATGTTATCTCGGTGAAGTTTGAAATAGAATATCACGATGGATGATGTGAATTTAAGGAGGTATTTCCAGTTTGGGATTTCGGGGGGTTTCGTGCCAGAGAGAAAAAAGGGCTTTTAAGTACGTATCCTAGTAATATATACTTCTTAATCTACTATTAGTTTTTCTTTTCCTCTTAAAAGGTTAGTCATTTGTTGTAGATGAATCAAATCAAACTTGTGAAGTCAATATATTGAACTCAACAATCAGAATTATTCTCATAATAAAACTCAAATTTTTTCGACCTATTGTAGGAGTTTGATTCTTATAAAATTGAAATCAAACTTAAATTTTTGGCCTACTGTAAAAGGCCTAATTTAATTTATTTTTCTTCTTTTCGGCCGAAGCCTAGTTTAACACTAATAATGTGCAGTTTAGAATCGCTGACATTTTGCAAAAACCCCACAAGACAACAAAACAATCTTCTCTTCTGTGTGATACTGTTCACACCTGTTACTCTGCGGCAAAACACATGCCTCCGTCACATTCTCCTTTATTATGCATCAAATAGTCAGCCTTTGGTCGATGAATCCAATATTTCCTTAATTACATCTCTTTGAACACACCTCTTTCCATGGTTCAGAATGACTAAAGCTCCTGTTCAGGATGCTTTTGACTTCAACAGAGTTACAGAGACTTTGTGGGTCCATGAACCACATTTATACGACATCGTTGGCTTTGGCATAAGAAATAAGAATACGAACGACGATATGTTCAGTGGTTTATGCACGATTAGCCGTTCCTGCATGTTTGCACGTTGGTCTTGCCGAGTTCACATTTTACAAGTGGTAAGAAATTACGCATGCACGATGACTGATCTTACTAAAATCTTAACATTTATTAGACAAATTCAAACATTAATTTGTAGTAAAAAAATTTGAAGAATACGATTCTACAAAGAAACTTTAAATTCTTAATTTAACAGTCATATGATTTTAGATTTTGATAATTTTTTTGTAAACATGACATTTATGAGAATACCTAAAAAATAGACGATTCGGATCCTTAAAATACATTAAGAAGTGAGCTAAAAAAATATTTCTAAAGTTGTATAAAAAAGTTGTGTAACGAACCCGCCACTTATATCCGGGCCTACTTTTTTGGATGCCTAATTTGTCTAGGTACGATTTACTACGTTTTCTGCAGGTTTCTTAGAGGCCCTTTCATCTTTATACCTATGTGTCTCCTATCTCACCATCGAGAAGAAACCAGAGAGAGTAGTTCAAATCAATTACTACGTAAAACTGAAACGCCACCACTTTAATATTTCTAGTTGCATGTAAATTTTCATACCCACCACAAGTGTACGCTGGCGTATTTCCTGCACTTTCTAATTAATTTCAGTGCAATTGCAATGTCGGAAGTTGTACCAACCAGACAACCAGTGGACCAACTTTGGATGATTTGGCTTTATGTTTAGCCGCTCCAATATTTATTACGGAATTAACAACCATATAAATTGTAGAAGACAATAACTTCGTGCACCTTCTGGAGAGATTCGCGAGAAAAAAAAACAAAGGAGGGTTGAAGAAGAAGTTATGGCAGGTTTTACCGTTTTAGGAGGTTGATTAATTTTCTCCGTCTGCTTTTTTCTTGTTTATTAATTGTTATTAATTCTCTTCGTCTGCTTTTTTCTTGTTTATTAAATTGTTATTGAAGTTAAGCTGAAAACAAAATCTTGAATTACAAATGGGTTTAGGGTTTCAGACTGATAGGACTGATCTTTCTGCAGCTGCTACACTATTTTTGTTTCTCTAGGATCATCATCAGCTGCAGCTTTGGTTTTGCTTAGATATGGTATCGTGTCTGACATATTCCACTGCGAACCTGCAATGAAGGGAACTCCCAGAATCTCTATAGCCCAATAAATCCAAGACCCTTTCAAGTTTCCACTCATAAGGGAGGTACAAATTTGGAAATATAATTAAAGATGCCACAGCTTTTTGCCTAGTATCCTGCCATAGACAGACTAATTGAAATACCAAATAGGATTCTTTGTTGATAATGTTTATGTTTATTTTAGGATAAATCTCAGTTTCTTTAGTTTAAACTCACGTTTTATAGTTTTCAATATTTAGTACATAAAGTATTAATTTTGAAAATTAATTTGTCTATTAACTCTCTCGTTAACTGATAATGTAGCTGATAGGAGCATATTCATGCGACTTAAATGGCTTGTTCTCGTGCATTTACGTTATGTTTCTCTAGTTATTTTAGTCCTTTATGCTTCTTTTGTGTGTTTTCAGGTTCTAAGGGCTTAAGGAAGAAAAAAGAGGCATTTTGGAGCATTTTGGAGCAAAATTGGGCTTGGAATGGATGGCATATGATTGGAGCCAAAATGTTGGACGAATTTGAAGGCCTTGTATTCACTTTGGACATAAAACAAAGGGCCTAGCCCATTCTCTCTTAAACCAAGCCCTTTGCCATGCATTTCCTTCCAATTCCAAAGCCCACAATCAATTCAAATGCCATGCAAATCCATATTCAACACCCTAAACTACAAGCATGCATCATCTCACCAAGCAATCAAACAAGCCACATGCATGTCCCTTTAATCATTCAACCACATTCCCACTTTCCTAGCTAACCCTACATGCATTCTTTATTCACTCTTCATCATTGCACCACAAATCATTCACCCACATGCACTCATATTCCCATTTCCTTTCCAACATCTCACATGCATTTCCACCTTCCTACTTCATCATTTCACCACATTCTCCCTCTTTAACTCACATGCACCCAAACAAAGCCAACCTAGCTAACCCTACATGCATTATTTATTCACTTTTCATCATTGCACCACCAATTCACCCACATGCATTTCCAACCATTCACACCCCTTTAATCATTCTCCTAGCTATCATTCACATGCTCTCCCATCCATTCTCTCCCTATATGTTCCCTCCACTACTCCTATAAATACCCTTGCACTCTCATCATTCAAGGCATTCTTCATCTCATTCACAACACAACACTCTTCAAAATCATCCATTCTTCCCCCTTTGGCCGTGAGTTTCCCTTCCATTCTCCTCCATTGCTTCCATTTCCACCACTCCCCAAACCATCCACACCATCAAACTATCCTTAGACCTTATGCTACAACGAAGAGGAAGAGAAGAGGGCCTAAACGTTCATACAATTCAAGTTTGAGTTGTTGGAATGTTTAGGCGTTTCTTTGATTTCAATGTTTAATTTCAATTCTCTTTGTTTTGTACGTATGAGGAACTAAACCCCCCTTAGCTAGGGGGTGATTCGAAATATATGTTTATGCTTGCAATATGATTTGAGTACTTTTAATTACGTTTCATAAGTTGTGAATTCAATTTGTTTAACTATTTGATTGATATCCTATTTATGTATGTTTATTAAGAATGAACGCTTAATTTTCATGCATGAATTTGACGCTAGAATATAAGTGAGTTTCACGTAATAGTTATGAACTTATATTCACAAGTAGTGGAGGTTGCTTATAAACAATCGCGTTAAACAAATTCTTGGCATAAGTTTCATGCAATCATAGTAACGAATGCCTCGTCAACACTTATAGTTTTCATGTTGCTTAATGATTCTTGCTTGTATCTCTATTATGCAATTCATGTAGGGAACTAGTGAGGAATGCTTTGGGTTGTCGTATGCAATCATCCAATTCATTAACTTAAGGAAAACTTGACGGTTAATTTAAGCGGACCTAATTAACCCGGAGCGTTGAGAATTCATGGTTTATTGAAATGCAATTAGAAATCTTTTTATTATGCAAGTGTAACGTGTGTGGAGATGAACCCCTTGGCTAGCATCCATTCATTCCATTTCATCAATTTCATCAATTTCACATTTACATTATGTTTTAATTGCAATTTGTTCATTTAGTTTAATTCCGTCCAAAACTCAATCCCCCTTTACTTTATTGTTCAATTTAGTTTGAAATCATTTTAGTTTGTGTTTTTAAAGCATTTTGAGTCTTTTGGTTTGTCTTAGTGTTTTAACGTTTAGTTTCACATTCTTTGAGTCTAGTTTAGTGTTTTATATTGTTTTTACGTTTTTGAAGTCAAATCCAAGTGGTTAACAATCCCTCCTAATCCCCGGTCCAGAACGATCCCTACTTACATCCATACTATAATTGTCAAAAAGAGGGTTTAATTTGTGTGCGTATAAATCTCGCATCAAATTTTGGCGCCGTTGCCGGGGATTAGCAACTTTGCTAATCCCTTGGATTGTTTTATTTTCATTTGTGTGTATATATTTTTAGTTTTATTTTGTTGATTTTAGAAGCACAACATGGCATTTGATAATGCTTATCTTTTGTCACAGCTCATGGAAAGGTCCCAAATGCAAAACGTTGATATAGTTGATCTTCAATCAAGGAATAACGTGTTTTCCAATACTTACAATTCGGATTGGAGTGATCATTCAACTTCTATGTGGTGGGAACCTCAAAATGTTCAACAAGAAAGATATTGGGAGCCACCTTATATTCAATATGCCCAACCAAACTCAAATTCGTCAATAGATTATAATCAAATTCTTAATGAATTAAACTCTTTGGTGCAGGGTTCACAAAATCAAGCTAAGGAGACTCACCAAGAAACATATTGGCAATCATATGAGGATTCATATGCACCACCACAGCCTTCCCCTCAATCTTCACATCCAAATTCAGGTATATCAAATTATTATAATGAAGTTATTCAACAACTGAATTCTGTGGAGCAGGGCAGGGAAGCTCAACCATTTCAACAAGACGCATTTTGGCGACCAATTGAGGATTTCTATCAAGCAAAAAAGTTGGCTGAGTGGAACAGTCAATTTAGGCAGAATGCAGAATGCATGGAACAAATTCAAGAACAAATGGTTGAAGATGAGCCCATGGATGAATTGCTACTGCTCGAAGAGGAGGAGGATGCACAAGGCACGGCAAGGGAAGAACAACCCTTGCCGCAACC